TGAGGGAAATGAACACTACATTGTGTGACTGTCAATGGGAGATTTAAAGAGGATGAGAAAGCTGTAATCTGTAGGACTGAATATGATATTACCATCACTTGACAGGTCACCAAGTCCAACATCGTCTTGTTCCATGAAGGCCTGGGAACCAATCAGATATGGGAGTGGCCTGTCCACATAAAGATCCTACAAGACAAGGAAATAACAGACACACAGACTAAATGGCATCAGTTAAAAGATGCAGTGTAACATGGAATTCTGCAGAAATTTCAATAATCCTCTTCCTGACACAAGATTTACAGCACACCTTTGGTTCTAGGATGGCCTCGACTCTGTCTGTGACCTCTTCGTCCTCTGAGTCAGAGTTTCCTGCTTTGATGTCAAGATGCTCAAAAGCTGACTCCAGCACTTTCAGACCATAATTCACGGCCTCCTGCATCTTAGGGATCAACTCTGCCTCTTTCTGCTCTCTAGTCTTCTCCTTAAGGGGGGAAAAAAAAACATCAAAATTTGGAATATTTAATATACAAATCTTCAACAACTATGTAAAAAATATACAATGTATGCTGACTTATTGTTAAAGTACCTGCTCAGGCTGCTTTTCCAAAGCATCAGCCTTGGGAATAGCCTCTTCTACTTCTTCATCATAAACCCTCTGCAACAGGACACAAAGCACAAACACGTTTTGGTTACCAGGTTTACTGCCAAACACCTTGCAACACTTGAATTTCCAACAGTGCAACAACAAGTAAGGTCAATTATCATCAAATGCGGTTATAATACAACAAATAAAACTGAACAAAAACACAAGTGCTGTAAGCGTGTATGATATACATTACATTTTCTATGAACTGTGTATTGGAGAGCATTAGAAAGTCGTTGAAGACGGAGTGCAAGCAGCTGTCTGTGGCCTTGGTGTCACGGATCAGACTGTCTAACTGCTTTTCAATCTCATGTGTCTTTGATAGCATTCTCTGAGAGAAGTCTTGGAGGAAGAGAAAAAGCTGTGAAGAACAGAGAAAAACAGCTATTAAGACAGGATCAGCTGCAAGGTTACTTTTATTATGCCAAAGCAGAGCACACTTCAATCTTCTCAGCTACTAGAATTTCTAAAGTACTTCTGTAGTATTCCTCTGACTATATAAAAAAATGATTATGATAAATGACTGTTTTCTTGGCCTATTTCAGAGCAGAGGATTGAATGTCCGACTTACCCCTGAGTCAGCTGCCAAGGACCAGTTGGCACTGTTCTGCCGCATCTCTTCCAGACTCCAGGGTCTCTCCCAGATTTGACCATCTTTCTCTAAGTGTTCACTCCTGCTTGGGCCATTTGCCATTCCCTCAGGCAACCCACTCATCTGCAATCACATCACTTGTTGTTATTAATGGAATTAATCATTTACACAAGTTTTTAAATGCCTGTGAAACCATACAGAGAAAATCTAAAGTATGTCTGTAATAACGTAGCCCATGTATCTGTGTTAACTTCAACACATCTCTGCTTAAAGTGAAGAGCTACTCTGCTTGAATGCAAAAGCTCGTTAGAGGAAATAAACACCAAGCTGTGTTCTGCAATCTGTAGGTCTTGCAAGTTTTTTTTTTGCGAAAGCCCAAGCCATAAACTGAAACAAGTCATGGAGTTGCTCCATAAATGCTTAAGTTTGGAAATTTGAGAATAAAGCTAACACAGGGCTACAGGGACAGAAGAACCATTTCTGTCAGGGGCCATACACTCATGTACATTGTGGAAACAGCAATCACATGCATCACTTCAAACAGAAGCTTAGTGTAGTTATTGCTTGGCCAATGATGTAGTACCGAGCACAGGTTCAACAGGTAACATACCTAATAAGGTCTGTAAATAAAGTCTGATTGTGGCGTCAGTCTTCAGGATCAAGGAAATCAACATAGATAAATAAATGAAATATGAAACCTCCCACAGCTGAACAGCCCATGTCAACTGTTGCCCTTTGGTCAAAGGTTTAAAACTACCCATAGTAAAACAAGTGTTGAAGTGCAAACAGAGTTTAAGAGGTCATTGACTACAAACGTTTTGGTATATGTGATGTGCTTTTGTTATTCACACTATTGTGTATGCCAGCAGTCATTCCTCTGTAAGTCGATTTAAGCAACAATAAAGTATATTTCTATCGAGTTAAATCACAGTCAGTCAAACCAGAGTCAGCTTAAATGTCTGTAGAGCTAATCCAAAAACATAATTCAAAGTGTAGCTCCTCTGAGTTTCTTATAATAGGGAGACCTCCTCTGTGTGCAGATGCTAACTAGTTTCCAGTGCCATTAGAAGACCACAAGATAAATCCCATTTTAACTTGTATCTTCGCCTTAACTTGTACAGCTTTGCTGCTAGACTTACGATACGACAAGCTAGCGTTGGCTTTGAAACAGCGTTGCAAATTTGCGGACTCTAACATGCTGCGTCCACATAAACTTGCGGAAATGTTATTTCCTCCAACTAGAATTTGCTTCTGGAAGAGAAAGCGGGGACTGTTTGGCTAGCAGTTAGCTTAACTTAGCTAGCCAACATCAACGGTAGCTGCTGCTGCTCTCTAAGCCGCACAGAGTGACACAGCCGCCCAAAACTGAGCGCTCTCAGGCTTACCTTGAATACCTCCGGTCAAGTGCCGTCCACGACGTTCAACTGTGGTCTGAAAGGACGAAAAAAACAAGATCGATTATGCAAAATTTGGCCTTTCCCTCATTGGTCTTCTGACAGGTCAGCCATGTTCTGTCTGCAGACAGTCACCTGACTGCCGTTGCCAGGCAACCCAGTAAAAGTGGGGCGGAGTGGAAGAAACCAACAGCGGAGCGAAGAGGCGAAGTAAAGACCAGCAGCTCTGGACCTGATCCGAAATCCTGATAAACGCTCAAGCTTTAGTTCAGGATTACAAATTAGTTTCACTTACACCTTTCTGGGCATAGCAAAGGTCTATTTTCTTCCGAATTTGTATGTATTTGTCATGTGTACGGCCAGAATAGCCTGCTGCTGCTACAGGATTAGTTTCTGTTTTGTTTGTTATCTCAGAATTTTTTTTTATTTTTATTTTTTTAAAATAAATAAACTTACTTTTCTTTTCAAAATGTTTATCAAACACTGGTCCATCTATCAGCATCTGCTTAACATGTGACGAGTTATGGTGGATAGTAAACAGATACCAATAACTTTTTATATGAGGTAATTAAATGATAATTCCCAGTTAGACTGATACCCACGTATCACAATATCAGCTGACAGATGTTTGAAATTCTGTAGTTTGATATAAGCTTAGCCTGCACAATTAACCAGCAGTCATGCTTGACTTGAAACAAATTTAACTCACTTATGTTTTTAAGTAAAATTTTACATTACATAGGACTTTTCTAAACATGTATTCACAGTTGTCCAGTGGTGGAATGTAACTAAAGTACATTTATTCAAGTACTATCCTTAAGTACAAATTTAAGAAGTGTTTTACTTCACTACACGTGTCTGAGTGAAGAGTCCAGGCTTTCACACACCTACTGTCCAGCGAAGACAGCACATCTCCTGATGTGGAGATTTTGAGGGCTCATGAGTTTCTTTATGAGTTTCTGTGGTTCTTCAATAAATTGTTTAATAATCCTCTTGAATTAGCTGGAAAATCAATTGCCACAATATTGTTTTTCCTAACTTGTGTGAATCTGACTTCTTTCAAAATATGTAGTACTTCTGGGACTAAGATAGTAAAAACACAATGATCTTATAGAATACCTGCATTGTTATGGACTACCCATAAATACCCAAAAGTACACAGTGAAGGAGTTAAAATGAGCTCAGCCCTAAACATCTACAACAGTAAAATGCAATATACACAGCTATTCAACAACAGTATGATAATAAAAAATATAAAAATTCCAATAGTAAACATATAGAAGGAACATTCTTCTATAGAATAAGCACTTTTACACTATTTTAAGTAAATTTTGCTAGTAATACCTAGATATTTATTAAGTATTAGCACTTTTTCCTCTTGATATTTATTCCACTTCTACTGTTTTTATACAAACACTGTGCATACATTATGCCTAAAAGAATAAACTTTTTCTTGAGGCAAACGGCTGCGTTTAGGGTTAACAAAGTATACAATAAACCTGGAAGTTAACAAGTTATTATTGCTCAGCCAAATAAGAGGCCACTATTTAATCAAGGTGTCAGAAACATTTCTATGTATGCATACATTCCTCATATCCTCTATATTAGTCAGACTGTTCTGAATATATCGCTCTTAAACCTTATGGGAATAGATTTTGCTTGACGTGGTTCACAAAGACAAGACACTGTTTAGTCAACTTGTAAACAAAGTTTATTTTTTGCACTTGGCAACAACTATCAAAAATATTTTTAATAATTAAAAAAATATTTTCCCAAAGGGAAACTAGAAATGCACACAAGCAACAGTGAAATTCGAACGGTATATGAAACGTAATTGAACTGGCCTTTTTCTCTGAAGACATCTCGGCACGTTACAATTGGAAAACACCGGTATAAATAACAAAATAAATGATATCAACAGCTGTTTCAGTCCAGGGTCCCTGTTTGTTCACTAACATGGTACTGATGGAACTGTTGTTAATGTTATGTGCATCATATGTGTTTTTTCTGCTGTGAAAGTGGCTAATTTTAGTTTTAGAATTATTACTGTAGGTAATGAAACAGTGGCTGAGAAACCAAATAACGAGCTGCAATTTCAAAATAGACAACGTACAGTAAGCATATTGCATAAGATTAAGTCACTGTAAGGAAACGCAGCCATTGTTACCCGGCAGTGTTGCCAGCAAAAAACTGGGATGCAACAAGGAATCAGCTTTCTTTTTTCCTATACACTTCCAGGACAAAAAAAAAAAAATGGAAGCCAGTCTCCAATCAAGGCCAGTTTTCAGCATCATATACATACAACTGTACATATATTTAGCTTATCAGTTACTCAGTCTAACTGAGGTAAGTGTTGACACGAAAGAAAGAATGTTTTTGAGGAATTACTGAAGTTTGACAAACAGCACTGCCAGTAGACAACAAGGATGTAGAAAAAATTGCTTAAAAAAAAACAAAAAAAAACACACGAGGCACTTAACCACAGCGTGCAACACAAATGTACCCACATTGCAACAAACTACACAACTATGGACACGAAAATAGTGGCAGAGCAAGAAATAAATTACCAGAGGCATTTACATTAAGTTATTGTTTTTGTAAAAAAAAAAAAAACATTAAATCAATATTTTGTTAGCAGCACAAACCAAGAAGTAGAAAAGGCTTCTGCTCTCAAACCTTCCAATGTCTTCAAAAATGTTCTTTATTAATAAATATACAGTTAATGTTTGTATCTTTATTTACTGTGGAAGACTATGAAACCTAGGGGCTCAGGGATAGAGGAAGACATGTAAATAGTGCAAACTGAGCTGAACATTAAGGCAATGGCTATTAAAGCCCTGAAAACAAATGAAAACATCAAACATCAAATCACCTGCTGGAACCAGGTGAGGAACCTCTCTTGTTTTAAACCATCTCACCCTCTACATCAGCATGAGCCGCGTTCCCAGCATCTATTTGCTCATCCTCTGCCTGAGGCTCCTTTGGTACTTCAGGCTCTACCTCAGGCATCACTTGGTTCAAGTCACAAGGCACTGACTGTGTTGCATCCTCCGTTTTGCTTGTGGCATTTGTGGTACATTCCTGTCCCTCCATTTCTGCCAGCTTTTCATCATCAACCATCACCTCCTCTTCTGCCTCCACCCTCTCCGCTTCTTTCTCCTCCTGCTCCTTCTCATCAACCATTGCAACATCAGTCTCCCCTGATACATCAGCATCCTCCTCTTCCTCCTCCATCATGGTCTCATCTTCTATCACAGTGTCCTCTTCATCGTCTTCATCTTCTTGGCTGCTGATGAGAGTATCTACCGGCTGCCAGTAGTCATACAGCCGGCCCTACAGGAGGAAAAAAACTCGATAAAAACACTATAGTAAATGATTCTCTTTAAAAATAAATAAATAAATAAATGAGAAAAGGAAGAATATAGTGTATAAGAGTGTGAGTGCTGTACATCAAGAGGCCTGGTCCTCTGAAGAAGCATCTGCCACTTGGTATCGATCCTGGCCACCAGGTCCTTTACCTGGAAAGAGATGAGAAAAATCAATCTTGTCACAGAATGTTTCTAAACAGTGTACCCTCGTTTGAATGATTATCACCCCTGAAACAACATCAAAAATGATTTATATACGTTGTTGCAGATTGTGAATACAAACCACATCCACATATTCACAATATTAAACACATTTCTGTCCCAGTCTGCCTTTAGGTGAGGAGTGAGAAGACAACACAGTTATGTTTCAGTAAAAGTTTTGAAGTTGTGAACTTAGCTGCTGACAAACGACAACTGTAAAACAGCTTGAACTTGACTTTTAATAATAAACAGTTCCTCTTATCTCTGTGGTGTTGAAAGGCTTCGACAAACTGGTTAAACAAGAGGCAGGTGGAATGTCAGGTAGATCCACTTCAGTCTGTTTGCTGTACATGTGAAGGTGTTGAGGTTGTTACCCTCACACAATAACACAATTTTAGCATGTGTTGGGACCCCAAAGCACTACCAGTCGCTTACTGTGTCACTTTGCCTCAGTCTAGCCAGTGAGAAATGGGTCAATTATTAAAGATTGTACCAAGAACCAAAACAAACTGTCACATATTTAACACAGTGCTATCTGCAGGATCTACAGAACCATCCAGAATATGAACACTGATGTTTTTCCTAAGGGCAAATAGCAGGGAAAGGTCCTTAAAAAGAAGCTGTGTTTCATGTCAAAAATGAAGATGCCTGGTTAAAAAAAAAAGAAAAAGAAAAGGAAAAAAAGAAAATGTTTGTTCTTAACTGCTCCCATCACCCAGTTTGATGTCAAGAATTTTACTTACTTCCTGCTCGACATAATTGCACAGTTGAGGATATGTCTGCATTGCTAATACTTGCTTGTAAATACCGCTTTTGACTGTCAACTACAGGTGTCTTTTTTGTTGTTTTTGTTTTACTGTTATCAATGCATTCTTCTGACTTACGTTTGGTGCCTGGCTACAAAGAAAGCATTGAAAGTATGTAGAAAATGCATACTTCTGTCACAGCTGCACAAACCTTTAAATACAACAAAACTTGTTTTTTTTTCTTGCTGTATGTGAATCCTCACCAAACTACCTACAGCTTTTTTTTAAAAACTCATACTCACTTTGCTCCGGTAAAGACATTTCTCGCTCTCTCTTATGTCACACTTAACATGTGCATTCAGCTCAGACGACAGGAACAGCAGCTGGCCCTAAGAAACAGAGGAGAGCTTAGCTTTTAAGCACAAAAATATCACAATTTCAACCTTTGCAATCTCTTTCTTTTTTTTTTAACTCAGAAGGGGGAAAAATTACTTACCTTTTGATGAGCTGGGAAGAAATGAAAATTGGACGCTTCATTTGCCAGTGTCAAAAGGCTATAGCACAGGTAGTAGGACTGGAAAAATGGACAGAAACTTGCATCAGAAAATCAATTTTAACCTTCTCCCATTAGAATTCAGTTAAAGTTCCACGAATTAGGGCTCTTTTACTTCAAAGAAAAAACAAAAAAATGAATTTTAGGTGTTAACATAATGCTTACCTGTTGGTCGAGGGTGGCAGTGTCCTCTTCTTTATCCTTCTGACTCCTCAGCATGCTTCGGAAAAGGGTGGAAGGTTGCATGCGGGGAACGTATGGTCTTAGTTCAGAGAGCTAAAAAACAAAAAACAAATTCAACAAATCAATGACTTCAAAGCAACTGTACAAAACAAGCGTACACATTCAAGTGCTATGTTCTAAAGGAAAGTGTCTAAGTTTAAGTCACAATGAAACAAATTACCTGAAACTCATTCTGTGTGGGTCTGTAAGTGCAATTTCCATCCAGCAGCTTAGAAATCATTGACATGCTAAGATGTCTGCGCAGTTGTCTATCCAAACAAATGACAAAATATATATATTTTTTAAGTGGTATATAATTAAAAAAAAAAAAAAAAAAGAATTATGTAAAAATAACTGCGGCAAGCGAGACAAGAGAGAGAGAAAAAAAAAGTCTTACTTTCCACGTGTGTTGTCAGGCAGGAGTTGAACCAGCAGGCACATGTTGTGATGATCATCTGTCAAATTAGTGAGGGCCAGACAGATCCTAGGAAGCTAAAAGACATTTAACCAAAATATTTAACTAGGCAGACACCTTCACAAAAGAAAACTATACTGGATTAACATTGATACCATGAATGACAGTCTAACGCATGAGCAAAACTTAACTAAAGTTTGTTTGCGACCATCCCTCTGGATTTTTTTAGCAAATCTAAACAATCAGATTTCATTCATGCACTGACCATAGTGTCCCACTCCCTGAAGTTGTTGACGATTTTATAATGCAGAGGGTACAGCTCCACAGTGGACTGCAGGATGAGCCGTGTGTCCAGACCAACCCTGCCAACCACAGTTAGCAGCAGCAGCAGCTCTTCGTCGCTGTATGCACGTGGACACAGGCCCATGCAGTAGGACAGATACTATAAACGAGAACAATGAGAAACAACCAGGAGTGAATGGTGAAGCTGTTTTCTGTTGAGCAAACTGCTCTGAACAATCATCTGTTTCCTACTGTGTTTCACCTTCAAGATGCTGTTGCAGTTATGTTCAGGGAAAGCAATCTCTTCCTTACTGGAGGGACTCTCGCTTTTGATGTAGACATCCTCCCTGCACAAACACACAGAGGTTCAAGTTGAAAGTATCAAATAAAAAGCTTTTGTCTGACGTCTTACATTTTTTAAATAAAATGCAACCAAGTAAATGAGCGAGTCACACAGCAATGCTACTTACAGCAGATCTCCTTCTGTGAACGAAGGCTGTAGATTCTCAAAAGGATATAGTGTAACAAACGCAACTCCCATATTCATCAGGACCAGCGTCACATCGGATAAACTGGGCACCCACACTTCAAACTGCTGGCTGCCATTTTTCACTAAGGAAGTATGCACACAGAAATACATCTGTTAATATCACTCACCTTACTGACAAAGTAAAAAAGCTTGTGAAGGGAGGGAGGGGAACACTGACCTATCTGATAAGCAGCAGTGCAGGCGATGTCACACAGGACCTGCAGGATCTTTTCAGATACCATCCTTTCACTGTGGACTGACATCATCTGAAAAGATCAACAAAGAATTACAGCCAAAACTCATACATATGGACAACAAAATCACCACCAGCATGCTACAGGTGTGTGCGCGTGTGTGTGTGCCTACCTTGAACAGGAAACAGGTAACCTGAGTTGGGCAGGGTGAGTTACAGTTGTAAGCTTCCTGGAACAATCCAATATTCAAATGCAATCTGAGCTGAGCTGGGCTGGACCTGAAATAAAGCAGGGGGACACAAGTGGAGAGAGAAAGAATAAAGCAATGCATTATTTAGCAAAACCAAACAGTCTAAAGCTTTGCTAATGGCCATTAAAGGGGGGAAATGTTCAATACACCCCACAGGACAAAGTGCTGGATAGACCAAACAACGCTGATGAATCACCTTTTCAGTGATGAGGCCAAAAATGTAGTTTGTCCTGTGAGTGGCCGAAAGCACCATTAAAAAGCAGAGTTGTTCATTCCCTTGAGAGCATAAATGTGCTCAGCAACCACTCTGCAGATTCGATTATAAAAAAAATGCACACTTTGGTGTGAGGGTTGCAGTATGCTACACACAGCAGCCTGCATGATCTCCTCCATGGGTTTGCAAAACATACTCTAATAAATCTCATTTTCCTGCATGCAAGAGATGTCATTGCACTCTGAAAATGTAGCAGGTACTGTCAACACCGAAAAGCTGATGGAGAAGAATAAAACAGGGAAAGCTGAAAGTGGCAGTTCTTCACCAAATGTTTTACAGTCTCTTCATGCCAGTATTGTACAGCACATGCCCTGTTTTCTACCATAACATTCATTGTCTGATTATTGTGGGTGTGGAAAAGGAAGTGATCGAGTTGGAAATCCCACAAACCATTGAGCTTCTAGAAGGAGACAGCAGACACAGTGGACACACTCAGGAGAACTGGATGTCATAGTCAAAAAACGGCACCCTGTTTGTTCCTATAAAAGCTGCTCACTTGGTGTATTTTCTGAAAAGCATCTGCCGTGTTTCTGCTCATTTCTCACCCACTTCTGTGTTTTGGGCCCATACAGCAGTCACAGAGAGTATACACGTCTGTGCCAGCTGACCTCCTGCTGCCCCAAACACGTGAATCAGACAAAATAATATCATTATACAGCCCTTGTGAGCTTGAAGTATAACTGGACCAAAAGGATCAAATTCTAATAATAAAAAGAAAGTCATTTGTGGGGTTGGTGACACTCACAGCGATGGCATGTGGGGGAAAAAAAAGAAGCTTTGTGGTTCCATCATGTGATGAAAGCGGAAGGTGGAGTAATTTGTTTGGGCTACTACAACAATGTGTGAGAGGCATGACTGAGTTCATGTGTCTCTACAGTCACCTCAGTATGCAACTACATGAGGTCTGCTGCAGGAAGCATAAAGCCAGCTGTAGGGCGGTGCAGGAGCAAAGCTGCAGGTGCAAAACAGAAAATACGTCACCCTCTGTATGAGAAGAAGGTGACAGTAGTTTAAAAACTTACAGAGGAGCTATTGTATAGCGTTCATGAATGAGATTCCCTTTGTCTCTCTGCTTTGGCAGTAAAACACAACACATAAGCCCTAACCGTGGTGTATTCAGAGCACAACAACATATTTGGGGGATGACAAACAGTACTTAGATAACAAGTGTGGCTACACTCCCCCACAGACGCATACCAGATAGCCTCATCCTCAGTTGTAAGTACCCACACAGAGGCTCCCTTAAAGGCCCATAAATGAGCTTCCAGACACTGTCAAATCATTCATACGTATTTGGCGACTTTAAGAACTTGATTTCAAAAGTGTTTGGATTTTCTGTTTGTGATACTGAACAATTGACATAAGAACATTTTGAAATTACACGCATATTGACATAATGGCAGCTTGAAAAATACTTATAATGCTGAAAGGTAGTTAGTTATGCTAGGCTTGAACTCATTTTTCTTACATATGTAAAAATTTGTATACATGTAAATGCAGTGCTCATGAGGCCAACAGTATTCAAATTTGCATGTGACATCATTTAGCAATATCCAGTGACTTCCTGTGACTGTGTTCTGTTGAATTTGTGGCTTGAACCCCTTATATGTATATATAAATACGTAAATAAAGCTCACCAAAGAAGCGTTTTCTGTGCTATCCCCTGTGGATTGACCATGCATTGCCTGAGTTGCAGTGTATCCTGGTCGAAGATCCGGCCAAACTTCTCCAGGTTGAAAACTACTTCCCCTGGAGGCACTTCCCTGATCGCGCTGGACATCAACGAGAAGCGCTGAAGGAATTCTCTGGAAAACAAATTGCAACAAAACATCAAATGCAGTTTGCAGTTAAGTACGTTGTGAGGACTGTGTCCCAGTGACAAGCTCCTTACTGCTGTTCAGTGGAGATGCCCTCCTCCCGGTTCTCCTCTGCCTCCTCATATTCAGCGATCCTTAGCAGGTCCTCATTACATGCATTAAGAAGCTGTTGCTCAATCTCTTTAGCTCTGATGGATACAAAGAATGTAGAGAAAGTTAGCTCCACTCTTGCCAAGATATGTAGATAGAATAAAATGTAATAAGAGTGAAATTTTCTTATACTTTTTACTGTTGTTTATTTCTGTCAGCATCTGGTCAAGATTGTTCTTGTAGATGCCTGACTTTGTGGAGGATGGCAATGGCAGCTGTGGGAGGAAAGAGTGACATTTAGATCTAAACAGAGACGTAAGTTAAGGTTTACTGTCCTTTAGCTCAGTGACTTTATAATTGTGTAATCATAACTTATGTACAACAAAGTCAAGCCATGTGCAGCTTACATTTTTTAACTGGCAGGTGGGATGTCCTGGTGTACTAGGTTCTGAGAAGGCTCCTTTCTCTGGTGTCTCTGGAGGTTTGGCTGCACGTTCCATTATCTCCTGCAATGAAATTAGCTGCTCCTCCTCACTGCTGTGAGAGCTCAGGCTTCCATCCTCACCTAATGCAAAGCTTAGGCCCAGGTCCAACTCCACGTCTATGGGATCTTCTTCATTCACCTGCTTTCTGTCCATTTCACTTGCCCGTCTCCAGTGGGATGTAGAAGTTTGCTCGGAGGGAGAAGCGTCAGTCTCGCATGAACTCACGTTGTTGAAGAGAGGAGACGTGTGTTTGTTCTCAGATTTAACGCTCTCATTCTTTAGCTGCCTGCCTGAAGAACTGATGGGACTGTTTTTGAGTTCCTTCCCTTTCACAGGGACATTTTCAAGTTTTACCCGCTTTAAAGTTATAGTTGGCAAGCAGACCTGTGGAATATGTGATGAGGAAGATGTTGCATGAGGGGATCCATTGACTGTGGAGTTCTGAGTTTTGTAATACGGCGATCCACTTAATAAGGTACCGGAGCTGGATGAAGGGCTGGATACACAACTTTTCTCTGAGGTGGGAGACTTGATTGTTTCCCCATCTCCCTTGGGCTTTGTACTCCTACATGCAGGGTTGACCACATAAGTAAGGGGATCAGGGGTGAAAAGATCAGCTGCATCGTCTAAAATCACAACAGGTCTTCGTGCATGAGAAGATTTTTTCCGCTCTCCTGTGCGGCTGCTCGAAGAGCCTGAATTTGGTTTAGAGGTTGGTTTGGGCGTGCTTCTGTCCAATTTTCTGCTCTCCCCCACTTGATTACTTCTGCTTAGAGGCTTCACTGAGAAGCCCGTGGTACCACAGACAGTATGACCTGAGTGGTGGCTGTTTACCTCAGTATGAGGTGATCGTCTGCTGTCCTTATGAGGACACTTTGAGGGTAACAAAGTGCTTGGTTTATCCTTTTTGTGGTTTTCTTCGCTTCTTTTTTGCACATTTTCTTCAATTGACTTTGAAGGTAATTTTATCTCTTTTATCTCCACTTTATGATTCTGAGCAGCATTTAAAAAGACTTGCTTTGCGCCCATTGATGGTGGTCTGCTCGTACAGTGTTTGGGTGATGATGATGATGTATAGCATGACTGGGTGGGTTTGAATATTGATGATGGCTCCAAGCACGGTGACTGTCCGCATGCTGGTTCCTTACCCAGATGGCTACCTGTAGTTTTGGGTGACAGCCCCAAGACTGAAGTAATCTTTGATGATGGCGGAGAGACCACTGAATTACTCTGAACAGTGGGTTTTGCAGTTTGTGTTACATGAGAGTTTGTACCCTGAAGACACGGTTTCTTGGCGTTCTCGTAACAGCGCTCAAACTCCTTGCATCTCTTCTGAGAAGAGCGATTCAAGTCCACTGCAATAGATAGAAAAACACAGTTCTTTTTTTTCTTTCACCAATATTCAGTGTTTACCAGTGTCTGTCAATAACAGTGTTCACCAGACTTGGCCATGCTATCAGTTATATGCTTTAATCAGATAATTACCCACACCAGATAATTACACCACAATCTGTTACCAGGAGAATATTAATCAGAAACAAATCATTTCCAGGCATCTATTCTGGCAATAAAACAATATTTTGATTCAGGAAAATGCTAAACATTTGATAATTGTAGTTTTTCAGTGTCCTGTTCAAATCCTTTCCCTCTGAGCTTTTGACTGTCGGTCAGACAAAACAACACATTTAAGGATGTCACACTGGTGCAATCAACATTTTTCAGTTATTTTGTGTTGATAGATCTATGAGAAAATACTTAATCAATAATAAAAATAACTGCAGCAGTGTTATGTCACATATAAAGGTAGTAGTTTTTGATGTAGCAGCTGATCAGGCTCACAAATTTTAAAGGATTTACAAACAAACAACCTCGATTTAGGAAATTCCTGTGAGCACTACAGTGGAAAAACACTCATATAAATAATATGGATAAAATGGAGGTTCAGGAAAAATGAAATTTGATATTTTTATGCTCCAAAGTTTCAATATAAAATACTCCTACTTTAATACCTGGTAAAAGAAAGATTAAAAATGACACTTCTGCTGCTGATGCTCAATCATGTGAGTTCACATTATCTGCAGGTCAATGCCATTTTCATTGTACTGAAACTGCAGGATGTCAACAACTAAATTGTCGAACAGATAACATGCCATCTAGTTTATACATTTGCAGCTTTAAGTCATGAGTAATGAGTAAGAACCAGACAAGTGGGGAGCAGAGGGGAACGGGTACTGACCTGTACTTTTGTGTTCACTTTCACTTGTAGGTGTTCGCACATGTTGTTGGCTCTACAAAAAAGAAGTTGGCGTTAATCCCGAGGAAGCAGATTTCCTTTTGTGATTTATCAACAACAGCGTTACTAATGATTACATACTATTTAAGCTACTGTTGTCATGTTGTAAACATCCTGCCGGGGCCTGTTTTAAACCTCTGAATCACTAATGCCACGTCAAACAGGTCTAACACTGTGCTTATTGGCAGTTGTTTTGGTGGCTGAAAAAAACACCAAGTCAATCAGAGCTTTGCAGGCAGAATGCAGGCAGGCTTGCAGGAACCCTCCATTGGGGTTGCAAAACCTCAAATGAACTTCATGGGTCTTTAACAACATAACAAACTTTACCTGGCAAGGGGCCGCAGTGCCATGGGTGAAGGGTAAACTGTAACCACCACTCCTGTCAGGGGACTGGGTATTCAGAGGCTGGTAGCCCCACGAGGGCCTCCGGGTGACATCAGGACGGCTTCGCTCTGAGCCTGAAGTGGGTGGTGGCTTAAGTGCTGGGGCTGCTCTGGTGTGGAGTGGTGAGATTTTAAAGCCTATACGCGGCCTGTGCAGCTCGACAGTAGGTGTGGAACTCCTCACATCGTTCGATTGAGCCTGACAGAGTGAATGGTAGCCAAAAACAATTTAGCATCACATGACTGCTAAAGCAAAAGTCATAAAGATACTTGACAAGCAGCAAAAGTAGGTTTCACGAATGGCAAATTTAAACAAACAGAAAACAATACCTGTTTTGATTCTTGGTTTTGTGTTCCTGAGTTAGATAAAGTACCCTTGGATTCAGTCATGGGACCTTTCTTGTTGAAGGTGAGTGGGGAGCCGTTGCTGATGAAGTGAGGGGGTGCAGGGGGAAATAAATGGGGATGTGAGGGTTGTGGCCTATTAAGTGAGGTATCTACGTTGGTTCGGCTAAATGGCACAACCAAAGGAGAGCATATTGGTCCTGGTCCTGGTTGCGCCGAGTGCTGCAGAGAACCTAGTTTGTCCCTTGCCATTGGTGGGGGACTATTTACTGAGTTTCCAAAGTTGGCTGTGCTGCCTGGAACAAGCACTGTTGAATAAATTGGTCCTGGGGGGTGAGGAGGGTGCCAACGTGGACCTGGTCTGTCCTTGTAGCACATTTCAGGTGTTTGAAGCGGTAACACTCTCCTCGGTGGTGGATGAGAAATCCGGTTAGGGACCTGAGAGGGCTTCATTGGAGTCTCTGGGTGAAAAGATTGCGGTAGAGAGCGAGGTGCGAGGTCCTTCACTAGAACATGGAAGAAACAAGATGCATGCATTATGGTCTCCTGAAGTTTTGATATATTATTGTATCAGAAACACTTCAATCATCTATTTGGGTAATATGCTGTCACTGCTGATAAATAACCTAAAACTGATGTATATCTGGTTTCTCCAAGAGAATTTGTTTTCAAATTCAAATGCTCCTGTCTTATGTCTTTGTGATGTTTTTACAGAAGATGTAGGTTTTACATTGTGATTTGTTCCCATTTCAAAGACAAAGTGACTTACAGTTTAATTCTGTGTATGTCAACTGAAACCGCATGGAACATTTTAAAGAAACATTTATCAATGTCATGGTATATGATAAACTCAAATCAACACCTCTCTGAATCGGTTTCAACAAAAACTCATCACTACAATCTTCCTGCAGGTATAATTTATTGCAGGGCTTTTACTTTAGACTGCATGTTAGTTTTGGCTCTGTATATGTTCACAACTGACATTAAGCTAATTCCAGACAATACTACCCCATCTCTTATTGTAAGGTACATTTAAGTGTAGAAAATCGCGTGCAAATCTAACAGTGCTAAATCAAATACAGTGTTATTGTCTGAGATAACAACCTTTGACCATGTATAAATAATGATGTGTCACAATGACCCACCTTTACTCTTCGGTGAGAAGTATTCTCCAAGTGCTCTGCGAGAAAGCCAGAGAAGGATAACAGTTTTGATTAACGAAATTCGTTTAGTAACCAAGACGACAATAATAATGCAGCATAAATGTGCATTTTTTTTCAAAATAAAACAAAAACAAGACGTCAAACAGCCCGGTGCGACATACACGCAACCATACAACCTGGCGTTCGTTCTCCTACCGCGGCTAACTCAGGGGGAGACACCTGCTAGTCAGCTCGGCTAGCCGCTACCAATCACAGCATGCTACGTGAAAATGACAACACGAGTCCTGGAGCAGTAAATATTACCAGGCTCATCGGTGTCAGCGTTGACAGACGGTGATGTCGCTTTGACAGCAGCAACATAAACGTCTAAATTTTGGAACTTCAGCTCAACAGCGTCAGTTGCAAACCTCGGTCACGTTTACGAATTAACACAACGCTGTATTCTAACAGTGCACAGACTAGCAGCCACAAAGGGAGTAACAGCTAGCTAACGTTAGCTGGGAAACAGGATAAAAAAACGTGTTTGCGTACTTTTAGTAGCATGTCAGTGTTCTTGGCGTTAATTATATACAGAAACGCGCATAAACGTTACCAGCGTTACGTACTTTTAGAGCCAACACAAGGCGTACAGTTGCCGGCTAACTCACAGTTTATGATGAAAATTAGCATGTCGCTGTTTCAGGAAGTGTTTAGCTAGCTAGCTAACCCGCTTGCAACTTAGCAACGGGGTACAAACAGAGCCGGCAGGTCTTCTTACCGAGCGTTTCCTTGATTTTCTGTTGTTTTCCTCATTTTCTGTCTACGGCGGCAATAACAGGTCGCTGAAGAGCTCCAGTGCTAATATCATCTCAGCAGCAAGATCTTCTCCCGCCTGGACCCACATCGAACAGCGTTACACGAACTGCATTCTGGAACTTAGAGTCCAAACGTCGCTCAGTTTAAAGGGACACTCCGGAAGGTTCCACCCATGCGAGTTTGACTTGCAAATATTTCCCATGTGCTTTTCTATTGTCACTTTCAGATATTTGCAAAACGTGGCAGACTTTGTACGTTGGTACTTGTGTTTTAGTTTCATAGTCCCGCAGGCTGGTTTTGAGAAACAGTTTTTCTGTGTTGAGAGTTTTCTATTTTGAGAATAAGCCAGCTACATTATTATTATTATTATTATTATTATTATTATTATCATTATTATTATTATCATTATTATTTTTGTCACAGCTTCCCATTTGTGAAAGGGCTAATAACTACCTCTTTTTTTTGTAACAAATCCTATTATTTTTGCAAATGCAATAAATGATTTAACATATATTTATTTGTTGGCCACTTTTAACCTAAACATACAGATGGACGACAAATCAAAGGATAACCCTTGACCACGACAATGCCAGGATCCTGCAGCTCTGGTATACGGTGAATGGCATTTTTCTGGCATGGTTTGTGCTTTTCCTTTTGAGAGGACAGGCTCACAACATAACTGTAAAAATAAAAAATATAAAATTGTAAATTGTGCATATGGACATCTTAGTATTTTATTCTTTTTTTTTCCAGCGTTAGGAAAATTCTTCAGTGGAGTCCTGACTGCTCCAAATCAGTACACAAATCAATGTTTTACTTGCAGCAAGGAATCACATGCACAGTACAGATTCTGAACAAGTGACTCCAGAGTCAAGAAACGTGGTAACATTTATACAGGCATGCAAAAGATTTCTCCTCTGCTCACATCTGCTGAGCACCCCCTCATCCATCCAGGTACACGGTGCGGGCTTGGTTACTTTTTTGGAAGTTCTGTGCACGCTGTCTTTCACAGCCTGAATCATCACATATAACACAACATTTTTTTTATAACATCCTGCTTGCTTTTTTACTTCTTATCTTTATTTAATTTTGTACATTCTTATGTAGGGCTGCAAGGTGGAGCTGTGGTTAGCACCATCGCCTCACAGCAAGAAGGTCACCGGTTCGCGTCCCGGTGAGGACACCCAGAATCTTTCTGCGTGGAGTTTGCATGTTCTCCCCGTGCAGCGTGGGTTCTCTCCGGGTTCTCCAGCTTCCTCCCACACAGTCCAGAAACATGTCGAGGTTAATGGTGATTCTAAATTGTCCGTAGGTGTGAATGTGAGTTTGCTTGGTTGTCTGTCTCTAAGACTGGTGACCTGTCCAGGGTGTCCCCTGCCTTCACCCTAAGTCAGCTGGGATAGACTCCAGCCCCCCCGTGACCCTTGTGAGGATTAAGTGGTGTATAGATAATGGATGGATGGACATTCTTATATAATTATTTATTTTGTGCTACTGTGATAAAACAATTTCCCTTGTGGATCAATAAAGTTCTGAGTGATCACCTTTATCCTCTGCTGAAAATATTCTATCCTGATGGGAGTGGTCCCTTAGACAATATTTCCAACTGTAGGACATCCAGGAATCACTCTACGGTTTGAAGAGTATGAAAATGATACCAAATCCATGCTATGGCCTTTACAGTTACCACATCTCTGCCTGACTGAACACAGATTTGGGAGCAACATGTTAGACAGCACTCTTTACTGCCGTTATCAAAGCACCAAATGAGGGAATAACTTTTGGAACATTAGTCCCTTGAGTCGTGGAACAGAGAGTTGTAGAATCAATGCTAAGTTGCACCAAAGCTATTCTGATGGCAGTTAGTGGTTCAGACACTTTACCTTGGTTTTTCTTTTAATTTGTCATCTGCCTGTAAATGTCATATTTTCATGCGCTGTACTGGAGTAAACCTTAAAGCTTCATTGTCAGAACAACAATAAAACCCCACAGTAACTGACAGTACAGAGAAGCAACAAAATACCGCATCATACAGGAAAGAGCACACGAGACTATGTAGAACTACACACAATAGCACATCACAGCTGTATACTTGTCAAGTCAACACAACTTGTGAAGACCACAGGATAGGATATAAAAGTCAGTAAGTGCAGAGTTAAGTGGCTTTTTGCAGGCTTTTCAAGCTGGCTGTTGAAAAGAGAGCTAATTGTCCACATCCAGTTTGTCTAAATGTTATGGTAAAGTCTTGTATAGAGGATATTCTGGAGGTTTCAATCAAATATGTTGAGCAAATGTATACACAATACGGTAAGGGAACTGTTGATATGTTCTTGGACAAAAAAAATAAAAAGACGTCTGATCATTTCCTAAAAACTCTGTCTAAATCAGTTCAGTGCGTAAATGTGAGTTAGGTCAAATGAATAGTTTGACCATCACCAAGATGTGATCTTGATGTAACTTTGATCACTATGTGGAAAAAAGGTGTTTGTTTAAAAATAAAAATGAATCTAAATCAAATGTAATCTCATCCAGACAACAAAAAGCAGTCACACTCAGTAGATTTGCACATAATTGTACATTTATCAGATGCAGGCTTTTGAGGTACATTTTTATCCAACACAGAGGGAATTACATTTGACTAGAAAACACGTTAATACCTTAAGACATTATAGGATATTCCATTCACAGATGCCTAAAACCCCACTGCTGCTTTGGTAGTCTGGGACGCCAGTTGTAGGCATTAACTGTAGGAACAGCAGAAGGAGGCACAAGAATACTATGACCTCAAAAATAGTCAAACCCAGAAACGGAGACACTGGTTAAAATTAGACCTTTCATGTGTTGTTAAAGATGCTTCACAGTGACATTGTGAAGCTGCTGGACCATAACCCAAATAACGGATTGTTCACGTATATAGTGCAAAAAGAGTGTTTGGCACCATTCAGAATGTAAAGAGAAACATACAAATTGTCGGACATAGTGACGACATGCAAGGACGCTGCACATAGTCCATTCACAGACAGACAATGTAGGAGAAAAGGACTGTTTAGTCGTCCTAACTGTTGCATTCTGCTCTCAAGAGATTGCAAAATCACATCCCTGTGTTCATGGAATATATCAAAGGAATGCCTTCAAAAGTCAATCTAATAATGGCCAGAGAGTGAGAACATTTTAAATTAATTTATAACAGATTGCAATATTCCACCACACCAAGTTATGCAAAATGATAACAATAATGGTGTTTGAGGCAGGTATCATTTCCTTATCTCCATCAGTGCATTCGAAAAATAGTATCTCACACAGACAGACAGTATACAGTGAGCACAGGACAACAGAAACCTCTCGTTGTGTAAATTGCAAGCCTTTGATGTGTGTGTAGCTTCAAAACACATTCTGTATTTTGCATGTGTGTCGCTAACTGTGGCAGAGAGAACACAGCCAGGATGTCAGTCTTGTCTCTGTTATTTACTCTGACAGTCAGCAGTTCAGTTTAGAACATCACAGGCAGACGTGCTCCTCTTTCAGAAGCAAAAATAAAAAAAATAACAAATTTAAACTGTATTATAAATCTGTCAATTGCAAAAGAGATATTGCTCACATAGTCAAGACACTCTCTTTGTTAGTAATACTGTCTCTTTCAGTCTAATATTTACCGCTTTAATGTACCATTTTAGCAAATATTATTTACAATCTCTTGAGAGCTGTGGCCCCCGTGGCTCTAATATATCCCAGTCCATCACCACCTACTGCTCCCCTGCACTGTGCATGTAGAGTGAGGTTGCCTTTATTCAGTCATTTATTAAAACCTAAAAGAAATTAGGATTCAGGAAAAACACCAATCTGGGGCCGGTTGTTTGGGACAACCTTTAGCATCGTACGTAGAGTGGACTTTTCTGTCGCTTTACTTCTTGGCCTTTCCCTGAGCTGCGACGGCAGCCATGGCTTTGCGGACGGTCTCCTCGTCTCCCAGGAACTGCATCGGCTTCACGGGCTTCAGGTTCTTGTCGAGCTCGTAGAGGATGGGGATGCCGGTTGGCAGGTTCAGTTCCATGATGGCTTCATCTGACATTCCTACACATGGTAGCACAGACAAAAAGAGCATCAGATTGTGTTTTTGTATACAGTCGTCCTCAAAGTTATTCATACCCTCCTATTAAAGAAGGAAAAAAAACAGCTGTCACTGAAATAAGTTGAAATTGACAAAAGTAATAACAAATAAAAATGTAATGAAAATCATGACATTGCTTTTAAATTGTGGTTCAACAGAAGTATTTCTAAAAAACAAGCAAACAAGCATGATGGGATCCGTAAACTAATATGTTGTTGAACAACCCTTTGAGCCAATCACTGCAATCAAGTGTTTTCTGTAACTCTCAACCCGACTTCTGCACCTGTTGATGGGTATTTTGGCCACTGCTCATCAGCAAAGTGCTCTAATTTGTCTGGGACAGTTTTGTTTTTAAAATTATTCTTTTCAACCACAATTTAAAAGCAATGTCTTATTTCACTAAATTCTAATTTAGCAAAGTTTTATTTATTATTACTTTTTTCAGTTTCTAGTTATTTGAGTGATTATTGTGCCGTTTCTTTAATGGAAGGGTATGAATAAATCTGAGGATTTACTATGATTTACAAAATTGTTAACAAGAAAGGACCTTTATGACAGAGTTTAAGTGCATTTGGCAAATGGCTCTGCCTGTCTGAGTGAGAAAAGATATTTAAAAAGTGTAATTCTGCAGCATGGAAAACTATGATAATATCAGAGTATTAATATTTGACAAACAGCATTTAAATGAAATATTTAACTACCTTCCCAAAGATTATCTACAGAAACAGATGAGTGCACACTGGTCTGTATAGAAAATCTCAATCAACATAAAACTGTGCAGAATCCCTTCATTTAAGGTAAAGAGTTAGCCAGCTAAGATGAAATGTGAAAAGTGGAAAACTTTTGCCAAAGCACAACTGCATTGTTTGCTGAGTACAAAGTTTTGCCCACAGTCTACTCGCTGCATCTCTGTATTTAAACTCTGCAGCCCACCCACCCTCCAGGTGCTTGACAATCCCCCTCAGACTGTTTCCATGGGCAGCGATGAGAACCCTCTTTCCACGTTTGATCTGAGGGGCGATCTCCTCGTTCCAGAAGGGCAGCGCTCGTGCGATGGTGTCCTTAAGGCTCTCGCAGGAAGGCAGCTGGTCCTTTGTGAGGTCTGCATAGCGACGATCCTGCAAAGAAGATAATGTCACCAAGTAAATTAAATAATGGAAGAGAATAGAAACAGCAAAGCAATGCTGAAACTCTTTCTCTTGACTTTTATGTCTTAAAAGTTTTATGCTTTAAGTAATGCTATAATTACATTTTAACCTCTGTCTGCCCCTGTCAAGACATCATCAGCTTGTTCCTACTTTGACTGGACTTTGAACTTGAACCCAGAACTCATCCTTGCCAGTCATATATTAACTCACAGTGGACATGGTATTGGGTAATAGCCACAGGGCTCCTGCTGGCAAATAGTCAGTCTCCATTCCTGTGGCTGTCAGGTTTCATTGCACTGTTGTACGTGTAAATGTGTGAAACATTTAGAAATTCAAGCTCAACAGTCTATGCAAAAAAAGATTAACACACATGACCCTGAATCCACTATTATCTCTCTAATCACTGTTGTCATTTCAGCTGATTTCACTCATTATTGGTGTCACAGATGGTGAAAAGGCCAGAATACAGAGACGTGTTCACGTCATGCCTCCTCTTTTTACCCCTCTGTGGAGTTACTTGCTCAAGTTGGCTAATATGTACAAAACCATTTGTTTCCTCACAGGCCAACAAAGTTGTTCTTTGTGTGTGTGTATGTACTGAAGATATCATATCTCACCTTGCTGATGATAGTGTAGTAGTCATGGTCTGGGCCCATGGGAGGGGGAGGGATATCGAATGAGCGCCTCCAGATCTTCACCTGAGCTTCGCCATGCTTGGCGGCGGTCTCGGCCTTGTTCAGTCCCGTCAGGCCACCGTAGTGACGCTCGTTTAGCCGCCAGGTCCGATGCACCGGCACCCACATCTGGTCGATGCTGTCCATGACCAGCCACAGCGTCCTGATGGCCCGCTTCAGCACGGAGGTGTAGCAAATGTCAAACTTAAAGCCAGCATCTGTGAGTTTCAGAGAGGGAGAGAACCACTGCAGGTTTTTGACTGTCAAAAGAGAACTGTGACTGTTTAGTCAGTGAATTCCACCGTGATGCCCTGTGAGAATGACAGCACTTGTTGCATTAGACAGAAATTATAGACGACACTCTGAAGAGAGGTAAGAAAAAAAAAAAGTGAGTCTCAAGCCTTACTGGTAATCAAAGGGATCTTGTAGCCACATTTAGAGCTGCAACTAAGCACTGTTTTCACACACTGATGGGATAGTCAGCAAACTGATTAATCAGAAACTGCATTTAGTATTTCTCAAGCACAAGGTTCAGTGTGCTTGTATTATCCACCTAAAAACCTGGAAATATGAAGAAAAGTATAATACTGATGTATATATATATATATATGAAAAACAGCCAATGAGAGCCAGTGTGAGAAGCTGAATTTAGAGCATGTTTGATACTTTTTGTTTGAAACTGTGCATTTTTTTTCGAGGGACAAAGTGATTAACCAACAAGTGCCAGCAGGCTGTGGTTACAATCTGATTAATCGAAGCTCCTGTCATACATTAGAGGGCTTTTGTGATTTCTTCCTGTTCTGTTGAAGTCAGATGCAAAATTGACAAATGACCCACAAATAAGTGCTCTGCTTTACAGCTTTTCTTCTTTACATTATGAATTAAAGTCATGAGTTCCATGTGCAGTCTCTTGCTCTGAGGCTGAGTAACATCACTGCCCCACATGAGAGCATCGCTGCTGCGCGTCCAGGGGCCGCTCTGCGACCTGATGCATGCACAGGCTATTATGCAATTAGCCGTCACAGACATTACAGTGGATGAGAGGAGAAAAACACTCGGTTCTTTCTCACCTTTCAGCGCTTGTCCTCCTCTCTTCGCCTCCTTCTCTCCGGTTTGGCTCAAATCTGCATCGAACCAGCCGCAGAACCGATTCTCCTGGTTCCAGTTGCTCTCTCCGTGGCGAATCAGCACCAACTTGTAAGCCGCCATGATCAATAGGAAAAGCCGTTCAATCGATATAAATTATTTGTGTTTTTTAAAATCAGATGCTGAGGGTGTTAAACTGAGAACTCCAACTCCAGGGAAGCAGACGGGTCCGCTCGTCGCTGTCAAACCCTTTTATTCAGTGGATTGGTTACTCCCACACTTCCTGGTTTTCACATCCAATGAAATTCCTTCAAAAGACGCGTCTTGTGTTTCTCAGCCAATGACAGAGGTGGGCGTCAGCGGCTCTGTCTGACCTTCATTCTGTACATTGTACTGTATTGACTCTTCTTTATGTTGATCTTTTACATCACATAACATCTATCTATCTATCTATCTATCTATCTATCTATCTATCTATCTATCTATCTATCTATCTATCTATCTATCTATCCAATTAATTAAATTCAGTTCAAAATGTCTTAATGGAATTGTACATCATGTTAACAATATTGCCAAAGCATCAAGGATGGTGTACTTCCAAAAAAACAAACAAAAAACAAAAAACAAAAAACCCCAACACAGAATAAAGACAACCTCGAGTGATGTCATCAGCAGCAGCCTCCTCACCAACCCCCTCAACAGAAGCTGTTCGATGTACCTCATCAGGTCAAACATAGACTGCCCCCTAACAAAGACGTGAGGTGTGGACAATGCTATGGAATGTTGTGATTCTATGCTACATTCTCTATTAATATGGGTTGCTACAATTCAACCAGTTTTATTGTCAGGTATGTTTCTGTATGGTGTTTCAAATTCGTGCTCCATGTGCCTCCTTTTAACTTTGAGCACCTGCCCCTCCAAAGGTCTCTGCACGGCCCTGGTTTAGAGCACCAAAAATGACCAGAAGGAGCCTTGTGCCGTTGTGCAGCGCAATAGTCATGTATCTGTACAATGGTGCTCAAGATATAAAGGGTTGTGGAGAAATGATATGATTGCAAGACGAGGGTACATTTAGAAAATGAACAGGGAGCTGATATGAGAGATGGGAGGTGTGACATATTGAATAAAACGCTACAAAAAGCACTATCTGTACTGTTGTCCCAGGTTGGAACAGTGTATTCATGAGCAAATGTTACGGATAAAACAGAAACAACCAGTACAGAGATGTTGGAAGCATTTTGTCCCCGTTAAGGTATCTTTGACTATATTCTGCATTTGCATTGTACGCTGTCAAGCAAAACTTTAGTTTGTAACACTATGATTTGTTGGGCTAAATTTACAGTTGTGCATGAGAGTTGACCGTTTTTACCATGTAAATTTTTGTCAGTTTATATGAGAGGAGTACACATCTGTATGATGACAACATTTTATTTTGCTTAGCAATGTAGATTTTGTTTTTGTAGTTTTTTTTTTTGGCATGAAACTCTTTTTTCGTAACCTGCATGTGAAGCAAAACATTTGTGGCTTGGCCTTTAGCAGACATATTATGCTAGCACCACGCCTAAATACCATGGCTGTTTGGACACATATGGCAAATTGCTGCGTTTGATAAACAGCAATAAACTCACATCAATACCTTACATCTATAATACTCTCACAGAGCAGACTGCAGCCTGCAAAATGTGTTAAAATGATGTCACTGACTTTTTGGCTTAACTTTACACAGAGCAGATTGGAGACAAAAATGTGAATAGTAAAGCATCCACAGCCACTATTATTCCCAGTATTGGTAACATCTGTGGGCACTTGGGAAACTGTACATGTTGATAATGTTCTTTAGAATTTTTGTGAATCTTTTTTTATGATTTAATGCATAATAACTGTGGTATACTGCCATAGATGGACTGGCCATCTGGTATACAGGGCACTGTCCTGGTGGGCCGGTGTCTAGTGGGGGCTGGTCAACGTTGTTTTTTTTTGTTGTTGTTGTTTTCCCCCACATAATTGGCTGGCCAGTTATGTGACCTATTATCCAGTTGTGTGGCTGACTGGCTATTCGGCACGTCATTGGTTGACTGTCAGTCAGGGCCTGTCAGTCCCCAATAGTGGGTGTTTACAGACCTGGAGGAGGCACTCTCAGGGCCCTGCATCACCTACCACAATGCATGATCGCCAAAATGCGTGATTCAGTTCTAAAGGTTGATTTCTCTCTAAATATGTTTATAATTTAAAAGGTTGATCCAAGGACGATTCCACATAAAGTACTACTTCATGACCAAGTACTTATAATTCTAAAGTTCTTTTTCCACCCAAATAGTGCTTTTTAACCAACAAGTTGAGGTTTGAAAGGTTTATTCCAGCCAAACTACTACTTATTACAATAACAACTTGATTGCTGAGACTTGCATTTGGGCAAATGGTGTAATTAACTTACTTATTAACAGGTAAAATAATAATGGACTCTGCTGCTGTGGCAAACAGGGCAGTTTGAAAGGTTGAATGGACACGCAGCACAAGGACAACTCTGAAGGCAGAATTATATATTTATTTATTTTATACAATAACATTTAATAAAAATAAAAGACACACACACACACACACACACACACACACACACCTGATATATCTGATAAACTGTACATGGTTCACGTTCATACTTTGGCAAAACATATTTTATTTTGAACATTTCATGCCGATAAGCCCAGTTCTGACGGGAGCACCACCTACTGACTGAATTGTTTTCCTTCTGTCTTCAGCTCTTTGTCCAGCCCTCTACAAGATTCCTCCACTTCACTGAACTAGTAGACAGACAACATTGTCACTGCTGGCATTACAGAAACTTTTGGAACACTTAGAAAGGTGCATTCATCAACACTGGTGCTCCTTAACATGGGTAATAACCCTATTATTAGTAAACAGTTAAAAAAAGTTTTAGGGCATTGTGTGAATGTAACTCATCCTCTAAGTCCACAACCAGATAGCCTTCTCTTGAGAACAATTTTACAGTTTGCAGTCTTATTTTCTTTATTTATCAAATTCTATATCTGTGATGAAGTTGCTTTTTCTTTCACTCAGTGAACAAAGCTTGTGGTACCTTCTCATGATGTGATCACTTTCGGTCTTCCCAGTCATGCTTTGGATACAACTAACGCAGTTTCCACAAAGTGTTGGTGCTGAGAAAGGTCCTCTTTGCTCAGAATAAGTTTGACTTCTGACACTCAACATTCAAGATGTTTATTGTCACTGCAGTTATACAAGTACAGTCATGTGAAACACTTATGTTAAGGCCCCTGCTGCTTATGTGCCATCTTGTTTATGTGGTGGACTTATGACCATTGTGTGGGGAGACAACGATCCATGTAGGCAATCGCCACACTTGGAATATAAAGCCTCAACCAAACTCTCTGTTGTGGTGGCTGGGATTTAATGTGAACAGTTCACCCTGGTGCCTTTTGTCTTTCTGTTTTATGTTAAAAATGTAACTTCTGTTGGCAGCTGCTACCTTAGTGTGGCAGTTACCCGTGTCTTGATGACGGCTATATCTCCGGTTAGCAGCTGTTCAACTTCGTGAAGCGATTACTTGTCTTTTGAGGCACTCGTTTGTTTAGTCCCTTTGTTGGTTATGGGTATTGCTATTGGGTTTAGGTTTGGCTTGCGAGTTTTGTTGTTTTGGTTTTGCCAGTTTCTTTAACTCTGTTAGCCTTTGTTTGGTTTGATTTGGTTCCTTGATGTAGCAGCATCCACCAGCCTTGTTTTCTTTGTGTTATCACTGGTTATTTGCGTTCATTATGTCACTGAGCAATAAGTTGTTTCACTTCCACCAAGTACACTTGGTTTTTGTTAGCAACGTAACAACTCAAATGCACACACAAACAAAGCTGTCGAAAGCTTAAGTAGTTCTGAAGACAGAAGAACAATAGTCCATTTGTGTAAGAGGACAAACTGTAAAACCTATATGAAGGGTATTGCACCAACATTAGATTTCTTGTGTGAGTGTATCAACAAGTTCTCCAACCTACATGACCACATCGACTGTTTGTCTCACCTGTCGACCGATACAAACATTTCTGAAATGACATGAGAGTGTTTAATGTTTGAAAGAGCGACAAAAGTCAGAATTAGAAGGTTGGAGGGGCAAAAGTGTTTGTGTATGTGCGTTATTTAGTCAACAGTCCTATAGCTTGAGAAAAAAAATTGTTCCTCACTCTGCGGTTATGCAATCTGTGAATCCTGCATCTCCTACCAGAGGACATCAGGGAGAACAGGCTGTTGTGTGGGTGTGTGTTATGGTCTTTATGACCCCCAAGGGCTTCCTGAGGCACTGCTCGCTGCACAGACCTCGCAGACTGGACAGCTTGCACCCAGTGATGTCCTGAATGCACCACCCTCTTTTGGGTGTTGCGTTTTACAGAAGAGCAATTCCCATATTAGGAACTCTCATGTAGTTCTGTTGCCACGTTTCCATGATCACAGTGCTGCCTAATAAGGAATATTCTGCTCGTACCTTGAGGCACAACAATACTGATAAAAAACATGTACATGACACAACTTCCTGAGTATTTGATTGTGTCTAATTTCTCAAACTTTCAAATTATTTCCAGGTTTGCATGAAAAGATGTCAGATTTTTGGTGTTGTCTCAGACTTTTGGACACTTCTATATGCAACAGTATTTTCTACAGGTTTATGAAGGATAGTGAGGCGTAGTCTACCATAGCTTTAGTGCCTGCAGATCTGTCTCATAGAGTGGATCGAATAGGGGAAGCAAACTGGGAAAGGGTTAAGTCCAGGGTTCGTGTGGCCCTATTGCTCCTCCTTGTGGGTAAACTAAATCATTGCTGACAAAATTGAGCAGTGATGCACAGTGTGGATAACAGTGAAATTTGCTTATTTATTGTTATTGATAGTTGCGTAGTATCATAGTATAAAAGTTTTCAAATTAGTCAGAGCGATAGATCCCATCTTGAACTAGTCTGTCTGTGAACTTAGACCTTTTTTTCATCAGCACATTGCTCTTTGTTCTTTGACTTTATTGTGCAACTTTTGCAGACAATCAGCTTTGCATCATTCTTAAAAGGTAGTGAAAAATACAGCATGATGCGTTCATGTGTCAGACACAGTTGTAGACATAATTTAACTTGAGAGGCAAGAGCTTGAAAGAAAAAACATTTTTAATCAGCTATTTTTTTTCCTTACAGCAGCAGTGTGATGCAACAAAGAGAATTTGTACGTCTGTGTGTGAAGACTGTGGGAAAGCTGTTGCTGGGAAACAGTTCAGAGCTGTGTGAGCTATTATCAGAATATCCATGATCCACACTTGGAAAGAATGTTTGTTTTCACTTCCCAGCGCGCGTCCGCTTACGCTGCACTAAAACTGCAGTGTTCGTAAAGAGTTTCAGTCATGGGAAATTTAATCATCGCTTCTAATTCCGTCCTTGACATTTTGTTTTTTAGGAGGTAAAACTTGCAGGTGATGAATGGAGGTGGTGCTCCCGCTGATGTAAGCTGCAAGTAAGAATCATTAAATGTCAGACAGGAAATTAGTGAGTTCATCCACCCAGTGACGAAAAAACCTTCCCCCTCCCTTCCTTTCAGACTTGGACTCATTCACTCTGCAACACACTCTCAACATCTTGGCTGAGGACTGGTAGATTGAAGGAAGCTGTGGTATTTTCGAGGCTCTATAAATAGCTATCATTATTTCCCACCACTGGCTGCCATTGCCCTCGCACAACACGAACACTGTGCCCATTCAGAAGTATCGTCTGGACAAAAGCTGCTGCAACAGATGTGGAATCAGTAATCCCAGTAACTATGTTAGGAAACTACAAACTGAAGAGTATCAGAGACAAACAAGGCCTCCACGCCCAGAACACTGTGCCGATTCATGCCCGACACAGACAGGAAATGTCAATCTCAGATTCCTGCTTGGACCTCAAAGGTGTTTTTGCATGTCTTTCCCTCTCGCTTTTTGTTTCTTCTTCTTTTTTTTTTTTCTTCTGCTCATTCACTTGTTCGGTTGGCCTCCATCTGGTTCCCTAGCCCCTCTTTCCCCCTCCTCGGCAGTGGAATGTGCATCTCAGCAGTAGCTGATGAAAATGTGGTTAACAGGGCAGCGCCGTGTGCGTGTGTCTGTGTTTTCATGTTTCATGTGCGTACATGCAGCCTCCTGAGCGAGACAGGACACCAGGGCTGGCAGCAGGGAAAGAAACAGAAGCAGATACACAGATAAGACAGAGCACATCCACTGGGAATTACCCGGCCAGACTTTGGGTGGGTAGGAATAAATGAGGCTCTTCCAATCCTGGACAGCTGCTGAGTGGGTTCTTACCATTCAAGTATACACACCTGGTTGAGTAAACTCTGTGTAACACCAGCCTCGGGTTTGAGAGAATGTCTTACGAAAACAAAGCAACTGAGATCAAAATCAGGTCTGTGCACAGTAAAAAGAGTGGGTTTCAACTTTAAACTCTAGTTCCTGTTAAATACTGCTAAACTTGCACAAAATCCCAAGATGGTTAAAGGACAAATTCACACTCACATTTTTCAAGTCTGTCTTAAAATAATACCGACATTGCCATATGCATACTGACAGGGTTTCTGGTTGCTGTAACTGTTCCCTTCTGTTCATACACACTTTGAAGAGGTTCTAATGTAAGAGATTGGGGACTGTGCAAAAACGTATTCCAAAGTTAAGGAATAATTAAGCTTCATTAAATCAAGTGAGCATCTCTGAAAGTGTTTCTAGTGCAAAATCATCTTGTGTTTCTCCAGCTATTGCTTTCTTATTGAACCTCTTTGATGGAAGGACAATAGCACAAAGGGGAAATCCTTTAACTTTAGATTTTAATGCCTTAAACTGCTCTTGCCTTGTATTAGCTTCAGCTAAACTCTAGAAACCTTTTTTTTTTTTTGGCACATAGGGACTGTGGCACTTACATTGGAAGGGACAGCTGTATTCACAGCCAGTTTGGACGGGAAAAATAATTATATAGCAAAGAAAAACATTTACTGTAAGCAGGGTAATGTGAATGTTGTTTTAAGGTAGACGAATAAAAGGTGAAACTACACTTTAGGATTACAAACCTTTTCCTACTTAGTTTTGGGAACGTCATGTGCAGACTCAAAATGATTGCTGTAATAATAAAAAAACAGAATAACGATACATTTTGAAGCAACAAAGTGGTGCACAATGTGTACATTTTGCTTTTGCAAGAACACTTTAAGATGAATTCCTTTCCAATCTGGCCTGGTAAAACAGACCTGAACAAGACATCTGTTCCCTCCCAGCTCCACGGAGGCTGACCTGCAGCTCACATTGGGTTCTGTGCAGCACTATAGTTGGACACAGACGCAAGAAGAAAATGCTGTTTTTGTCAAACAAAAAAGACATTCTTGCTATTTCCCTATAGTGATGATATCATTACCCCAGTGAATCACAGCTGTGTCGTTGTTATCCATTGGGACTTTAATCCTCACTTTAAAATTTCTGATTTTTGGTATCACTTTCTCACTCAGTTGACATCAGTCCATGACAACAGCGTGTAACAGGATGCTGTTCTTCCACAGGGAGGGGCTGGGAGACCGTTTGAAGGGGTTATGGCGACTCCTGGATGGTCGGTCTCTTGCAGATGGGTGGGAGAGCACATACAGGAAATGTTTCTTTGGTTGACTAGCCAAAATAAATATCACACAGTTGGCACTCCGGAGCAGTGCCTGGCTCTATATGTCCTTATACCATGTCGTCTGGGTTTTCTTTACTGTCTGTGTAGCCGGGAAAAAAATGCAACAACCTCACTCTTGTGGGGCCCACACCCCGACACAAAGGATTCATTACCTGTGATTAAGTGAGTTCATTGTTTAGACAGTGGATGTAATGTAACTCTAAATGGGCTCAAACTGCAAACCTAGAAATCTTTAAACTGCGGTCAGTGTAATAATAAGGAGCCTGTTAATGTGGTGAACTGAAAAAAAAAAGACTTTCAGGGTAAATGTGGAGAATCCTTTTCTGGCTTTAATTGTCAGCATACGCTATAGTTGTGATTCATCCAAAACTTAAATGATTCACTATGGTTACTTTCAGTATCAAACCGAACCCTGGATGGGGTGCTTTGTTTATGCAGCACACAGAGCTGCTGTGTACTGTCTCCACTTGGCTGTATACAACAGCGTGTTTCCACAGGCGCCGACACGTGGACAGGACAACACTTCTTCTGGAAACCTCAGAGGAGGAGAGGGTGGGTGGGAGAGTGTGTGTGTGTGTGTGTGTGTCTGGGGTGGGCTCCTTTCCTCCTTTAGAAGTACTAGATTTATATCCCGGTGCTGCAGCTGGTTAACATTAACCCTTCCACGCCTGCAGTTCTGGCCACAGATGTCACCCTGCGCTCGCAAAAGCGCGTTAAATTTCTCACCTCTTTTTATACACCTGTCAGCTGCCTTTAGGAGATTAACGCTGATTTATATTCCGATATCTGCATTTCTGTCGCATCGGTTTTGACTCTGAAATCATCATGTTCGGTTGCTGGCATGCAAGAACAAACCTTCCCCCCCAAAAAAGGAGACGTTTGTGTAAATAATCTGCAGTCTTTTTAACCACATGTTGTCCCACATCAGCAACAAGTGTGCAAAAATATGAATACAAATGTGAGAAGAGACATAGAGTAATGGCTCTCTCTTGCTGACTGTTTAAAGGCGACCAAACACAGTCACCAGAGTGCGGCTTTGGGTGCTGTTAAAGCAACTTGTCTGCAGCGTGTTTTTGAGAACTGGATGCTGACTGGAACAGACATTGAATCATCTTCCACTGCTTGGCTTCATTTTCATTGGCTGAACTTCAGCCCACCTCCAGAACCCCAACAGACTGTTCCGGTAAAACCAAGCCTCTTCCCAGATTATTGTTCACAACAGAAAACACACACACACACACACACACACACGCACAAGTTGAATCTAAAAGAAAGATAACACTCAAGCACCACACGCGTTCTCTGTATCATACTGCACATGCACATTATGTGTGAGTGGCTGCTTTAAATGCAGATAAGTCTGAGGATCTCTGGCTTTCATGTGGTTAAGTGGCATAGTGTATAAAGGATCCCTGCTGATTGGCTGAGGCTTTTATCTCCCAACAGGAAGTTCCTGAGGGCTTCCGTTGCTAGTCTTTTCTAAATCTGTGTTTCATTTGGAAAAAGCCACTTAAAGCACGATTGAAGCGTGCGGCTCAGTTCTCTCTCCAAATTTAACTCGAAGCATTTAAGCATTTTTTTACCAACATTTTCTTCAAGCAGCCTTTCCTCATCCACCAACACATGATCAGAACCAAAGAAACATCTCACTGACTCTCTCTTTCTCTCTCTCTCACTCGTCTTTATTCTTACTCTTTTTGCTCTTTTGGATTTACATAATGAACACTTGAGGAGTAGCTTTGGTCAGCATACACATCGTAGCACCGAACACATCCACGCTGTAGGGTCTGCGGTTGTCACAACCTCACTGAGTATACAGCATTCTGACAGAAGGCACTAATAAAATTTTTTTTTAAAAAGCTGCACGCAATGTTTGAGTTATAGACAAAACCAAAACAGAGCTGGCAAGTATTTCATTCTGTAAGAGATAAAAGTCATTCCAGCGCGTGTCAGTAACTGTTCAGTATAGTTTGCTGTCGTACAAAATAAAAACACATAAAAATATATACTTTAAAAAAAGGTAATAAAAAAAAGAATGCCTTGTGAGAAACAACTGTAGCAATCCTATGAGAGGCTTTAGATGGACAGTACCAACACAAATCTGCAAAATGTATACACTAAATACTGCTATAATAAGTCCCTACATGAGTATGATTTTTTTTTTATGAGGGAAAATGGCATTAAATATAGAAGACAAAACACATGCCACTTGTGCACATTACCAATTAGATTAACATTCCTGGTTGCTTTTGGCCTCTGTAGGATGAGCTGCTGTTCATGGCAACTATTAAATACACTGATAATAACAAGGCCTGATCCTGCCTCAAACACAAAAGGTGGAAAGTTGGGAGAGGGGGAGACAGTAGAGAAATCTGGGATAAGAGTGACTGTTGAGTGAAATTACAGTGAAGTTAACTATTCCTCATCTTGCTGCGGAGCCACACGCATCCCCTCATTGCCATCACACCCAATTTAGTCTCATCAGATAACTGTCTGCTCTCCTCGACACTTCCTGCACGCCCCGTACGTGACCGACAGGAGATAAGCCAGGCAGCACAGGCAGGCGAACACGGCGGCCGCCAGGTAGACCTTGTACAGACAGAGGTGCTTGTACAGCTCCAGGTTGCAGTACGAGTTGCGATCCGTCTTGTAGATCATGACACCTATGGCCGGCAGGTAGAGCACGGCGGCGGCCACGTCGTGCGCCAGGTTGGTGGACAACCAGCGGTCCCCTCCCAGCAGCGGAACCAGGTCCTGCTTGTCCAGGAGCGTGAGGAAGAAAAGGGCGAGGGTGAGGAGCCAGAAGAGGACAGCGACGAACAGCACAAAGTGGATGGAGCCCTCGTACTTGTTGGCGGCGATGGTGACCCACAGCCCGGCTCCGAACACGATCTGCAGGATGCGGACGATTCCCGGAAAACTCCTGAGGAACTTTAGGATGTTCTTCCTCACCTGCGGCTGGGCCGACTGGGGGGGAGGTTGGGGTGGCATCTCTCTCCTCCTCCGGTCACTCTCGGTCCCTTATTCCCGAACAGGGCGGGTGCTTTTTTTTGCCAGCTGCAAACAGCTGGGGGAAAAGATGGGTTAAAAAAAAAAGTGAAAACAAGGGGGCTGGAAGGCCGGGTTTGTGGCCAAACAAAGAAGCCAAAAGTGGACAAGGAGCCTATGGGAATAAAAAGGGAACTCTCTGTTCTTTCCACGGCCCCGGGGTTTTGAAATGACAAACCTTCTTGTAGCCGATGTTTCGTCTTTTCCGTTTCCTCTGTTGAATGTAGCGTCTGTGTTGGGGGGCTGGGAGATGGAGAGGGGGGTGGCCTGTAATTCAAACCCTGCTCCTCCTCTGCTGGACTCATCCATGTCCACTCATCTGCGCCCTGATTTCCACTTCCACCCGGGGGTCTGTGGCGCATCTCCTCGTGTCTTTTACGCACGCACAAACAAACGTAACATGCTTTTGTTTCTTCAGCTGGAGTCAGCACCATGAGTATTTTTTCTCCCACCCTATGGATGTGGATTGTGTGTCACAGCCTCATGCTGGCTCTGATCGTACAGATATGCTGCCTTAGAGCCCGTGCGTCACGCTGTGTGCGCAGGATTCTCACATGTTACTTCTTTCTCGCATAATTGACAGACGTTTGTTGTGCCAGCCAGGCTCATTGACGTCAATGGATTTCAGCCCTCACGCCCTACGTGGCCGGGAGGCGGGACCGACCGCCCTCCCCATCCTCCTCGCCCCCCGGTCTCCTCCCCCCCAAGACCAGCCATTGGTGGAAACGGAACCGAGCTCCGGCGCGCACAGGCGGGACGAGCGCACGGCTCTGCTCCCATTAGTCGCTTTCACGGCACTGATTTGTGACTGACAGCCTGTTCAAGGACACAAATTGATTGCAGTCAAGACTGGACACACACATATTCTTGCAACAGTTCGGCCATTGTGGCAGTTTTGTTCGTAAAAGGGTCGGCGATGAACGCAACGAGGAAGGAGACGCGATAGAAGAAAGAAGCGTAAAAGATTCGTTCTGGGTCATCTCCTGGTAAGCAGATGCCCTTTCGTTTTATCACATGATTCTCATGCGATTCGTATTGTGTTTTTTTTTTTAGCCACAGGGCTGTGAAAATAGAATTGAAAACAGCATGGATTGGGCTGTAAGTTGTTTATTCGTTCTGTTTTATCTTAGAGAACCAAGAATGTGTCAAAGATTCTGTTTATTTCCCCTCCAGAAACTCGTAGCTTTGCAAGAGACCCCGTGTCTGTGCGCCACTGAGCCGAAACTCTTTGTTATGCAAACAGTTAACTGTCAGGAAGCCAGTGATGTGTGGTTAATGTTGCCAGCCTGTAATGCAAACACATAGGTCTGTCAATGCGTGGTTGTGTTTCTGTTTCGGCATATGATCATGATCAACAAGAAACATGTCCTCAGATAACCCACTTCACTGTTGAGGACTTCTGCACAGAACAATGTGGAACCTTGTTTATGAGCTGGTGGTGATAATAGACCCCTGTTGGAAAAAGAAAATATTGAAAAATGATATTAAAACGGCCTCCACCGACAATCTATCACAGTATATTTAGAACAACAAAGAAACATGCAGGGCTAAAATAGTTATCATGTATATTTAGACCTCTGGGCACAGAGAGACCCTGCAGAGTTAAGCTCAGCTAAAAGAGGATGGGGACACGTCATTCCTGACCTGTGAATAATATCGAGTCAAACAGAGGATCCTCTGAGAGCCTCTGCAAGATGACCTTTGGTTGAAAGCTCCGTAAAGGTAGTAAGTAAAACCTTTGGTTGAAAGAAAGTTCAGTAGAAAGGCCACTGATCCATATGCAGTCATGACCTTGGTCCCTCGGCTAATACTCATCTGTTGGTGTCCCACTTAATGGCACAAGTGCGTAAAGAGAGATAAAGTTACCATCTGCAGTTTAATGGGCTTTCAAGCACAGTTCGCCACTTGTTGTCTAAAGTAGGATTAAAGAATCAGAGCAGAAGACCCGCAACAGGCTGACAGTGTTGTGACAGCTGGCTGTGTCCTCGTGTACGTTACACATGACGACACACACTTTATCAGCCCGCACTGCCTTTTGTCGAATATAAATCACAAACCTTTTACTTTGCAAATTGAAATTCCTCTCTGCCTCCTTCTCCACAGAGTGGAACCTGCGTTGTATGCCACCTTCTCCTGTGTTTCTCCTGATGGATACCAGACCCGCCCACCCTTCTGCCTCCATGCTGGCGGGCCCTGCCTCGCTGTGGCGGCTGGCTGAGAGGAGGAGCAGGAAGGCTGGTTCAGGGAACATCTTCAGCAACGTGAACTTGTGGCAGCTTCAGAGGCTGTTCAGGGCGGCGGGCGACCAGGACGCGGAGCAGAGGGCCCAGCTGGTTTGGGGCCACAGGGATGAAGCCGAACTGGCTCAGGCGTTAATAGGACTGAGGGCAAGAAGTCACCGAAGAGGGCTGAGGACTAACGGAAGGGACGTGCTGGGCTCACACTGGCTGCAAGCCTTCAATCACCTCAGGTAGAAACACTGCTGACATACATGCACAAAATTCCAACATTTTCAGTGTTTCGCGTCCGTTAACAATGTTTGCTGTTCAGGATTGGGGAGAGCTCGCCGAGCAGCAAGGGGAAGGATCCCGGGGAGGAGAGTGATCCTGAAGCTCAGAGCAACCCAGAGGCCAGCAGACACACCTCAGCAGGGACGACAGGAAGAGAAACGGGGGCCAAAATGGGACTAACTGAGAGCCAGAGTCCTGCAGGGACATCTGAGAGACCAGCTAGAACCAGCTCAGGACTGAGGAGAGGAGGAGAGAACAACCCAGAGAGATACCTCCACCGAATACTCCACTAGCTCTGCTGTCAAAACTGGAGCAAGGTGGAATTAACTTCCATGAAAAGTAATACGGGCACAGATAGGCTTGCCTGTGACCTTTACAGTTTCAGGTGAAACTGTGCTGCAATTTGAAGGAATAGAATAGTTCTCATATTGCCACAATGTCTGGTCTTTTAATGGCAGATGGCAGAACACTGGCACTGCACTGTTACGTGTTGCAGACACATCTCCACTTGAGTCTTTCAGTATTGACTGGCTCAATGTGTCTCAGCTTTTTATAATGATTGCCTCTCAAAAACTGCCTTATGTGTTTTCCTAAATTCATCCTACCGTACATACTTAGAATTATTACCAAAATTAATGTCGTAGGAGTGTAGATAGTGTTGTAATCAGTAGCTCAGAGGTGTACAAGTCAGTGGTTTTGAGCAGAACACTACATGGCAAAGTTACTTTAAAATTGGTCCCGTCTCCCTTTTGACTGATTGATTTAGTCTGAATGCACTGATAACATAAAGCACAACTGGATGTGCTTACAAACAGTTGTATCATTTTTTTTTTTTGTACCACAAAAAGCCATACATGTAGTTACATATAATATTCTTTATGTATATTAACTTAGAGAAGATGTTAATGTCTTGATTTTGTATTTACACTACTTGATGTCACGAAAAGGAACAAACGTTCCAACTGAGCTGCGTTAAGTTTTACACCCCATGTTCCTGGTTATGTGCGGGGTCTGTTACACAATACTAGAAAGTGTAAGATTGGGAGAAATATTGGAAGTGAGGACGTGGAAGTAATGTTTGTTTCCTAACATAGACGTCATTGCACATTCAGGGATGATGGGTAAAATGTCATCGTACTGATTGAACACGTACTTTAAACGTTGCACCGGGGACTTACGCTTGTCAATGGTTTGTATTTCATTAAGGAGAGATCAATAGAGAGATAAGCATGTTTACTGAGGCTGACAACAGAGAGGCACTGTAGCGATAAGACACAGCTGATGTGATGCATCTTTGATAAGAATAGACGAGTGCAGACAGGAAATGGGAAGAATCCTCCTGGCAGTGGTGGAGTCAGTGAGGTGTTTTAGTTGAAACACCTGGGTCGCCCTGCTGGAAAAGGTGATGTGGCAGAATCATATGTCTGAAATTCAGAATGACAGAAGCATGGTGACATTCAAAGAGCAGCCGACTGATTGGCTCGGCACCGTGCCATCAAAAATGGATGAAAGGAGTTTTGCGACAGAGTGGAAATGAGGGGATTGGTGGCGCAGATCAAAGTGTAATTGCAGGATGATAGCCGGAATTCCCAATGGAAGGAGGAGTGAGAGGTTAAAGATCTTCCTTATTGAATTTTCAAAAAAAAAAAAAAGCTTTATATTGTAAAACTTGAATTGTCAAACTGCGCAGACCAAAACCGATAAATTACAAGTGCAAGGTCTCATTGTGCAGGAACTTGAAAAAGCAATAAATCATTAAACGTTCATGGTACCAGTGTGAAACCCGCTGTGCCTATGAAAAACAAACCTCATCAGATTGCTGGAAACTTGAAGAAGCTTTTTGACAAAACTGTTTGATGTGTCATTTTTAGAGTTATGGTAATAAAGTGAGTCTTTGTATTTTTGTGTGATTTCCTGTTTTTATATTGTAATATCTATAGACTTGAAATAAAAGATGGAACTAGTAACCGACTGTGACTGTGTTGAGTTTGACATTTGGCCGTCACCATCTTGGTCTTTTGATGAACCAGCTCTGCCCCGTAACACACTCTGCTTTATTGTCCATGTTCCTCTAAATGGCACTGTAGTTTGCAAAACGAGCAGCATGTTGAATTGAAAGAGTCTTGAAGCTAGTGAATAAGAAAATATAACCATTAAGGAAAATGTTTACTGAAGGAACAAATGAAGTAAGAAGTAGGATCATATTCTCACACAAGATTTCATTCTACAACCAGAAGCGTTTGCAGGTAGAAAGAGTGCAAGTTGAAGGCTTGATTTTCAGATCTGGAGGCTACATCCATCTTTTTATGTAAGGTCAATGGTCATAACAACAACTCTACTGACCATTATCACAGAATAGTACCAGTGACATGGCTGGAAGATAGAATTTGTTACAATGCACTTCAAAACGTCAAAAAGCATCAGAACTAGTTTAACATACTGAGTTAGCTTGTGTGCTTACCACCAATGGTTAAACCCAGAGAAATGCAAAGTTTCCTTCCAAATTGTTTCATTTCGGTTGCTGATCACCAGGAACGTCAGAGACTGAGTAAGGAAGGCTTTGCTCACTTGTCGTAGATCATAATTAGTTTAGTATGACCATGTTGACCAACGCTGGCCTTCCCCACTATTGAATCAGCCAAATATCGTCAGTAGCTGAATGGGTCGATTCATCGAATCATAACTGTGCAATGAAAATTCAATTTAAGCTAATTTTTTGTTATCTGTAACTGCTTCTTCTGTCTCCTGTCATGTGCTACATCAACACAGGCTTTAGTTTACATTCAAACAATGTACAATCTTTGTTTTTGGTGCATCTTATGATCTGAGTGTTGTCGTCAGCAGAATGTGTCCTAACAGGCTTGAGGGTGAATGGAGGCCTCACAGGACACCGAGGCTTCTTTTTAAGACTACACTTACTGACCATCTGTTTTAGTCACAACATCTAACTGACCTGTATGGCCTTTTCTTATATGCATAAATCACCTGTACAGTTTATCAGTATGGTCTTCATTCTCCTACATAATTACCATCATTATATTTTTGCTTCTAAAATCCTACATTTCAGTATATTCATTAAATATACGTACATATATAGTGATAATGGCCTGCTTGGACAAACATGAGATTGTAATTTTGGACGCGAAAAAACTTGCCCGTTGACTGTTTCTGCCAGATTAACGTCAGATAGATTTTCATGTTGGTGAAGGTGCTACTTCATCACATCATCAAACTACATTTCTTGTTGTTATTTTGACCAAAGGACCCATAGCGCAAAAGTTACATACTGTACCTTTAAAATGAATGTGTATGTTTTTAACAACACATTATGACATCCTAATGTTTAGCATGATACGATTAGTTGTTTATGTGTATTCAGTTGCAGTTCTGCCTTATCATATGCACATAGTTCAAACGCATCCGCTCCCTAAAGCTGCAGCCTGAACCCACACTGACATTGTTCATCACTGAGCTCTGCTGGCCTATTTTGATGTCTAGTGCCTTGATCAAGAGCAACCTTTGCAATTTGTGGTGAATAAACGAGCACGTCCTGTCCCTGTGTGTGTATTTCCAGGTTGTCAAGAATTTGGGATATTGAGCATAAGGTACAAAAGGCCGTTTAGTGCTTCAAACCAACACCCACAGTCACATTCCGTATATTACACATTTGCTGTGAGTTACATGAAGACACTGAAAATGATTTAAAAGCCTTCAAAGAACTGTTGGAGTTTATGATAGAAACAAGTGCTGCCCTCCAGTGGTCACGTTTATCTGTGCGGGTTTCATTCATGTCAACTTGCAGTCACTAGATGGTGCAAAAGCTTTACTTTCAGAAACAAAGCTACCACAGTGAGTCGGAAATTGGATGGCATAGACTTCCACACAAAAAAAACTTCACCTGAACTTACAGAGCAGAGTTGTTTTAATCAATAGAGCTTGTTGATCCTTTTAATTTTTAATATCCAAACCTTCAGGCAGTGGTTCTGTGTGTCCACTTAAATGTTAAAAAACTGTTTTGGTTTATTTTCAGGCCCAAAAATGCCCTAACTAATGCAACTTAAACCAACAGGGGAAAAAAATAGGGTACTGCATCAAAATTTTATATATAACCATGTGTCATTCATCCTTTCCTCCAGTTTCTTTGCACTGAGATTACTAAGAAGTCAGCCACTGCCAACTAGATAAGGATATAACTAAAGTAGGACTAAAGTTGGAGGTTGCTGGACCAGGATAGCCCTGCATCCACCAGATGCTCTCCTCTTCGTTTGTTTCCTCCAGCTCCTCCAGGGTGATGCAGAGGGACTCGCAGGTCGTCGGGGAGATCAAGTCCCCTCAGCGCGTCTCGTATCTGCTAAGCTGAGGCTTCCGTAGGGCGGCTTTGTGACGAGCTGAAACCTCAGCTGACTCCCTCAATGCAGAGAAAGCTGCGAACCGACTCAGAGGTAATCCGCAGTTCGCTGAACTTCTCACCTTGTTGTGTTAAAATAAGCTCATTGCACAGGAAATTTTTCGTGCTGTATAGGTTATCTCCACTTTTCATTCACTGCCTAAAGCTTCTGACTATAGATGAGATCTGGAATGCTTCAAGTGACACAGCTGCAGCCAGATTTAATGGTTTGCTCCTCACTCGGCAGTGTGAATATATGCAGATATGTGTCATTTTTGTGCCGAATGAGCACTTCTCCTCGTGATATATTTTGCTGATAATACTGAGTAATTTCTACTTAAGTGGGATTTTTGAATGCAGAACCTGTACTGACTACAGACCATTTTTTACATTGAGATGATAGTAGTAGTAGAAGGCCAATACCCTGAAGAATCACCATCTTCAAACACATCAGTACTTGGTAACATTAAACTGCTTCACTGGTCAGATGTGAACTGAATTCAAACCGTGCAAAGAGACATTTTAATTTTGTATAAACTAGCATCTAAATCTAGGTTAAATTACAACAGAGTTGCTGAAAACAATTAATCATGCTGACTTCTGTTCTTCTGTACCAGTTATTATAATTCTGTACACAACAGCAGCGTGGCGGCAAACTGAGATTCCTTTGTGGTACATTGTTGCCTTTTAGGCAACATGCACATCTTAGCATTTTTCTAAGTTATGTGCATATAAATGAACATCTTTATACTTCCAAAATTCTTAGTCCAATTTAGTAGCTAATGAAAAATGACAGAGAAAAGGCTTTTCAGTGCACCGTTTCGGGGCATTTGTAAATGGCGTATATTTCTGGCATTCATTGTGCAGCCATTTTGAACCAAAGTAGGTAAAAAGTAAATCAGACAAAAGTGTTTTGAGTTTTTTTTTTCTACTATTATGTATTTAATGGACTTATTTCCAGTGTTTGCTCAGTGAGGTATTTATCTGTCCACCCATTAGCTGGCCTGTCCAGAAACATAATTTGCGATTAGAACTGTGCATTCCGCTGTGAGCTTTCATGCTGTTTGTTATGACAAATATCTGTAGCCCCCTTTCTCTGGTCAGCACAACTTCCTCAGAATTAAATGAACACGATGTGCAGAACGCTGGGTGCCCAGCTTACTGTTCCTCTCTTAAAAACTGCACTGGACCATCAACTTTGCATCTACTTTGCATCTTGATTAAATCCTCTTTTGGGGTGGTCATAAATTGGATTTACCCTGCCGACTGTCTTCTAAATCAGCCAAATAAAAGTCATTTTGGCGGACATCACTTTTTATGACATTCCTCCAGCAGAAACGTATTCTCAGAATTCACGCCTGTTTTCCGATAGTGCTTTCCAGGCATTTTAGTGGGGATGATTCTAGGCAAGGCTGACAAAGGATGAAGAAATAGAAGAATGACAGCTGTATGGAGAGCATGGGGAGCAGATCCGACTTTCAAAAGAAGGGAAACCAGCTTTTTTTCTGTTTTTTGTGTGTGTATGAGTGTTATTGACAATGGAAGTCATATAGAGATTTTGCATAGGCAAGGATGTGAGAGTTGAGACTGTCCCTGCTGCAGTGTAATTAGAGCACAGAACAGTAATTAGAGAAATGATATATACAGTCCATGTTCCTCATGTTCTGATAATAATCCCTAACACGCACACGCACAACCCCTGTTCCGCGCTCTGTGTCTTTGTTCACGGAAGAATCACATAACACTGCGGCACAGCACTCATTGTTATTCCTTCCTCTGTGTCATTGTGTGCCTTTGCTCTTATTCTCAGTACTCTACTGTACGGCTCAGGCTCTCGTTCACTTCTGCAGTCTCCAAACACTGGCATGGCACTGCCTCCCTTTGAGGTGTAGAACATCAAACATGATTCAACAAGAGCTCCTTGCTGAGCAGGGGCCAGCCCCTTTTCAATTTACTTAATTTGAAGGGGATCAAGAATAAAAACTCTTCCGTCAACCTTTAGAAACAGCTTCACTGATCTGGAAGAAAGATCATTTTCTTGAAACTATAAAAAGAAACCTTGATGCTCACGTGAACTCCGGTCATCAAATAAAGGTTGAACCTGTCTCTTTGGGCACTGATATAAAATGCACTCCAACCCCAGCGCCTTCAATTCGTTTGCACAAGGTCAAACCGCTTCCTACGTCTGAGACCTTTCTGTCTGCCTTCATGCTTTGCTGCCTTCGGGGCTGTTCTGGGCTGTGGAGAAACATGTAGAGCCAACTTCACATCATATCACATTACGTTGCATTGCCCACACCAGCAGCCTGAACTATTCAGATCAGCAGGGCAAGGAGCAGATTTTAAAAGCAGCCTCCTCATACCTTAATAGGTAGGGTCATATGTCAGAGGATCGCGTCGCTCCTTTGTTCGGTGCCCTTTTTCTGAACCCGTGTTAGAGTTATTCTTTTGGTTGCTGGTATTTTCAGATTTCAGAGAAAAAACGAATATCTTTCGAAACCCTTTGAGTTCATGTTGTATTTTCCCTGTGTTATATGATTTTAATTAGTTAGCAAACAAGTATTATCAGGAATTAAAATA